CAAGAGTAGGTACTTGGTCAGTGGACTTAAATTTCTTAGTCCCTGCAGTCACACTAGATACAGAGGGGCTCTGAGCACTTCTCAAGCTAGTCAGTAAGAACTGGCACCTTTGACTGTTCTTTTAAGAACCCAAGAGACATTTGAATTAATCTTTTGCAATGCTTACATTTTATTTAAATTGCAGTGCCTAAAAGCCAGGTGATAAATTGATTTAAAAGTCTTTTGGCAATGGGTTTTACTTTTCAGTGGAGAATGTATTCTAGCTTCATAAGTAAGCCTAATCTTAAATGAGAGTCATGAAAAAGGTTATTTGAAAACAAAATACTGAAATTTCATAAAAGCCACTAAAAGAGCAAAGTAAGTTATTTTCCTGTTCTTGTGTTTAAAGACCAGCCAAGAATAATTCTTTTAGGGTGGTATTCACTGTGATATTTACAATGCACTGATTTTACTTCCCGTCATTCCCAAATTACAGTTCCCTGGTGGTGGTTAAATAAAATTAAAACATTGCGTACAGTTTGATTATGGTGGCCTTTGAGGTGTTATAAAACACAGCTTTGTTTTTAAAACAGTTGCATAAACAAAAGTTGTCTCATGGTGCTTATAACTTGTGAACATACACTTTCTCACACTCTCTATTCTGGGATAGGTAAAAAGTATGTATAAGAAACAAACCAGACTTCGTATTATTCCCATTGAAAGGAGCAGCTAAATCACCTCAGGCTACAGTTCACTTGACAAAATATGCCAGCTAAAATATAGGTCAGTAGGTTTTTAAAAATTCTATTAGATGAGATTTCTCTGTTTGAGTTGGTATAATGTGAAAACTCAGTGGAAAAATTCTAGGTAATACTGCAGACTTTTTTTTAGATTGGAAGACGGATTTCAGAAATTGCAATCTTAATTACTAAATTTAGATGTCACATTGTCTTCTAATCATCAGAGAATGGAATTGTGCTGTGGGCTGTCTCTCCCCCTTCACTTTCATTCATCTGTCATTCATGGATTTCCTCCTCCATTTTCTTGTTTTGCTCTTAAGTATGGCTTGCTGTGGTTTTCAAGTATAGGGAGCTGTAATGACTACCCATGGCTTACAGACCCTCTTCATACTGTTGTGATGTGTGAGCTCCATCCAGGCCCAATTTGAATAGGGCTTCATTGCTACATCTGCAGGAAGAGGTCTCTGCTGGAGCTTGCTCTCCCTGCTGCTATCATTCCCCCTTTCTTAATCCTTTGGAGGATCAGTGGCAGGGAAGACTGGTGCCAATGAGGTACTCCTCAGGAGAGTCCACTGCTACTGGGAAGTATGAGGAAAGCATGGGGAAATGTTAGTGTTTTCTGATTCAGGGGAACCACTGGGGACCCCTTTTTCTGTGCTTCTCACCAGAAGCAGACATCCCCATTCTTATTTCATTAAGAAAACATTCCTGGAACACCAGGTTCAGTCTGCAAAGAGAAAAAATGCTCAGTGAATCATTCATGTTTAAGGAACCTTTATATAACCTTAATGTAACAAAACATTTATGCAAATGACCAAAACAAATTAATCCAACATCCATTCAACCTGTCTGATTAAAATAGCTACTTTTATTCTAATAAAGCTAATGTTTCAAAATACTTGATTAATGTCGGACAATATTTGACCAGTTGACTGACCAAATATTTGACCAGTTGACTGACTACCATTCAAAGAAATTTCCTGTGCATAGAAAACTAGCATATTGTGGAGAAGGCTCAGCTAGAACCTTTCCGTTGACTTACTGGTTTTCAGTAGGGAGGGCTTGAGTGGTGTGGAGGAGCATTCAGTGATGTGAACCTTCATTTGAAGCAGTACAGCAGAGATACAGGCTTACCACTTTAGCAAGAAGTAGATCTCAGTAACTGCTCTGAATGAGCTTACATTCATATAACCCCATGCTAGACTGTAGCCATAACTGATTATACCTCACTCAAGTAGTTTGATGGACCTTAAGCCCCCTCCCCCCTTGTAGAAAAGTCATATTAATTTAAAGAACTATCTCATGGATCTGAACATCTTCTTGGGTTTATGTGTCATTTACCGATTCTCAAAATATATGATTAGTGCCAGATATATGGGAAGACAGCCAAACTTAAGCATTACTGTTTCCTTTTTATCATAGCCACAGTAACTATAATTCTTGTACCTTTTTAAAAAATAATCTTTTTATTGAATTTTTAGAAATGATAGACACACACCACATAAACACAAAAACAAAACAAAACATCAACATACACTTCCAATATTTTCTGTATACAGCGATACAACTAGTTCTTAACAGTATTACAATTGAGCACACATTTTCATAAGAACCATCTTTTAAGATTTAACTAGATATATTCAAATTAACCTTTACAATCAAAACAGACATTTTTCTCTCTAGATAAGGTTCTCACTACTTCTCAAATAATCGTTAACCACTATTTATCCCCTTTCATTCCTCTACAAATTTCCTATCCATATATTTTCAACTTCTTTTGTCAATATCTTATTGTAACTATGATTATATACTTGTTTCCCCCCCCAAATAAACTTACATCAACCAAAAATGAACGTTTCCAATCCCTTCCACCTCCTATTAATCAATATTATCCTTTTGTATAATATGCATTTACTACAACTTACATACAGCTTAACATCAAACGTAACTAAATGCCTGTTTCTCCCATCACCATAACTTTTATCTATATATTATAATCAAATTATTTCCCCATAATGTCAAATTATTTTTTATCTATACATCAAAATATCTACTTTTCTATCCAAACATTTTCAGTTATTACTCAACCCTGTTTATTCCCTTTTAATAATTATTTATTCCAGCAATTTATAAAATATATGCCTCTGAAATTTTCACTTATATAAAGTCAAATTAAGGGGTAAAGACATCATAGAGAACAAATAACCTAACAATTACTTCATGCATTTATATTACAATAAAACAAAAAAACATAATTTCATTTTTCCAAATAGGCATAAATCAGCAAAAATAACATTTGACTCTTCATCAAAGTTAATTTCCCCC